ACGCGCACGCACCCGGCAGCAGCAGCAGAGCGGGGCCACACGATAGCTCATAGGGGTGGGCCCACCCTTATCTGGTTACACCCGATTTGACGGGGCATTATTATATAAGGGCTCCAACCCCCAAGGAAAAAGGTAATCGAAAATTGCGCATCTTCACTCTTAGCCTTTATTTCTTCACAACTCTCTTAGTTCTCCGCCGAGTTCTAACTTAAGCATCGGAGTGTTCCCACCGGGTGAGCTCCCCGGGAATCCTTCGCCTTCTTCTTTGCAAATACCTCGTCCAGCGCCAGCTAGGAGCATAGCCCCTGTAACTAGTGTACGGCCGCATGTAGCTGAGAAGATCAAATTTATGCCCGATCTGTCTTCGAGTAGACAGAAAAGATCTAAGGGAGTGGATATGGCTGTTGAGCTTCAAAACATGAATGAATCTATTAAGGAACTAATTGATGTTTTGAGGACACTTGTGCAATAGAACCCACTTCCTACATCAACCCAAGTAGCCCAACATCTAGATGAGATTGTAGCGCGACCCACAATCGTAGAGTGTATAGAGGCATTGTTAGAATTATGTATCACCGAAATACATCCATTATATATTCAAGCATCCATATTATTTGTTGAGAATGTAAAATATAGAAGAGAGTGGAAGAGGCTATATGGGGCTGTGCCTATAAATGTGTAATTCTCATGGTTGCAACAGATGGTGAGAAGACTCTTCGAGGTATGAGGAGATATCGATGGTTAATGGTTGCTTCTGTGGGTTTTTTTCTTCACTGATTCTATCTGTTATCACTTTCATTGGTTGAACATGTGGTGTGTTTTTTACCTGTAACATTTAAACTATTTTGAATTAATTTATCTTATGAATATTGCTACTTAATCAGTTTGACACATATCATCATTTTTTTAATGCATCATGACTTTATCAAAAAGAACTTCTTCACTTGGTGGAATACTTTTTACATCGCTACACATTTCACCTAACAATGGACTTAGAAAAATACATCCGCTTGGTAGCACTGCTTCTCGTATGTTGGACTGTAAAAGCTATGCTACTTAATCATGATGACAAACCACTTATCGGTTGTGCTGAAAAATTATTTCAAGTCACTGAGGAACCAAGCATAAAAGATTGTATGCAAATAGTAAGGGATATGGGATTCACAAAAAGACACCCATTGTACGTTAAGGCACACATTATATTCACTGACACTTTGCATTATCGACATGTGTGGATGAGCTTCTGTGATAGATCAACTTATTCTGCTAGAATTGCATGGTTGGAAGTTGCTATACACAACTAATTTGATAATGAACTTATATAATTGTAATAATGTCATTGTGTGCCCTTGTGTTATTTCGGGATTTGAAACAATGGTGTGAACAAATTATGTTTCATTAATAGTTAATGGCATTTTAAAATTTAAATTGATTTGTGGTTTAATATCATGCAATACATTGTCAATTTTCTCATAAATTTGATTTACAAATGTTGACAGTAGAGGCTAGGAATGCATTGGTTAAAATTCTACTCTAGCTATGGCTATTGGAAGTCAAACTTTTACATATTAAACGCCATCGCTCAAACAATGAATCTTCATTTAGTGGACATAGGTATACTATGGAACTACTTAAGGGTCGAGATGAACAAATGCATGAGATTTTTCGAATGAAAGTAGGTGCATTTAGGCGGTTATGTTGTCATTTTCGAGTAAAGGGTTGGGTAAATGATACAAATAACATTACTGTTGAAGAGAATATGGCTATATTTCTTTCATGCATTTGTCAAAGTCAACGGTTTTCCATAATAAAATGTCATTTTCAGCATTTCAAGAATACTGTGCATCGCGTATTCCCTGAGGTATTGGATGCCATTATGGCTTTTGCAAGTGAAATGATTGTACCAACTTGGGATCATCCAAGCCCAAGTAATACCGGTCACCATCGAAGGATTCGATAGATATTTCAAGTACAAATTTTTAACAATGATTATGTATTTTAAGCATGATTCAATTCATTTATTAACAATACTGTAATTTTGTAGGGTGCTGTCGGTGCATTGGATGGTACACTCATACCCGCAATCATCGCACCAGATGAGTCAATGCCTTATAGAGCTAGAGGCGGGAAGCAATGTTACTAAAATGTTCTAGCCATTTGTGACTTTAATATGATATTTACATATGTTGTAGCTGGTAGGGAGGGGGTTGCGCTGATGCAAGGATTTTAAGGACCGTTGTCATTGAGCCCAATCACCACTTTCTGTTCCTGCCTCCGGGTAAGCATTAAATTCAAGTCTTTTGAGGTTATAACACTTTTAAATCATTCCCACATGCCAAACTTAACAATAGTGTTACACTTTTTGCAGATAAGTACTACTTGTGTGACCAGGCATTTCCACACACACGTTATTTCATGGCTCCATACTGCGGACAAAGATATTGGATATTAGATTTCCGCCGTAAACGACCAAGAACTAGGGAGGAGAGGTTTAACCAAGCCCATGCAAAATTACGGAATATAATCGAATATGCTTTTGGGGTCTCAAAAGCACGATTTCAAATTCTAAAGTTAATGGCACCGTTCCCCTTTCTAGTTCAATGAGATGTGGTTATTGCATGTTTTGCCCTCCATAACTATTTAAGGAGGGAGAGTATCGGGGATGGACTGTTCACAAAATATGAAGGCACTAGTACTGGAGGAGACGGAGGTGAAGAAGATGATTACAATCCCGATGTTGATATTGGTTCACCTAAGGATCGTGAATTCATGTTTCAATTACGTGAGCATATTGTTCATCAGATGATGCAATAGATGGTATGGTGCACTAATATTAAATAACATTGTCTCACATTGATAAAACTTTGAATACTTGTATTGATTATCTTGAATTGTTTAATATTTAGGCCATACTATTTGCCATAGTATATACATTGTTATATTCTTGATAGAATTAAGAATTAATTAGCAACTATAATAATATTATACAATTATAACATAATTATAAAGCATTGTACAATTACTAATAATATTATATAATATTATACAATTATTAATAATGTAAAAGTTTATAATTAATTAATTAATAATCATAATTAATAATAATATTACTTAAATTGGTATAACCAATTAATAAATAACCATAATTAGTTACTAATTAATTAAATTTAATCATTAATCATTAAATCAATAATTAATTAATATTTTGTAATAATTATTTAACATTTAACTATTCAGTAATAATTAATAATTCATCATTCGTAACATTAAGATTAATTAATAATATTACAATATTAATTAATAATCATTAATAATAAGGTTATATTTAAAATTAACCATATTAGAATCAAGTAATAAAAAATAATAATTCATTACTTAAATAGAAACAATAATACTAATAACTAATTCATAATAATATTAAAATTAATTAATACAAATATTAGTAATCTATATCAAATAATAAATAATTAAGAATAATAATATTAAGTAATTAATAAATAATTAATTCAAAATAATTCCCAAAAGTAATATTAGGATTAATTCAATAATGATTTTTCATTTAATCAATGTTATTAATATTATTAATAAATTAATAATACTATTATATAGTTATTAATAATATTAATAATTAGTAAATCATAATTATTAGTAGTGAAAAAAATACTAATAATATTAGTTATTTTAAATATAAATTAATAATAATCAATTATTCATTAATTGTAAGTATTTAATTATAATTAAAATAATTTATTAATAAAAATAATTAAGTAATGAATTAATTAATAACAATAATATTATTAATTATTTAACAATGAATTAATAATTAATACTTAACATTGATTAATTAGTATTAATCATTAATGAATAATGAATTATTAAGTAATGCCTAATAGTTAATTAATCATAATATTAACATTCGTTGAAAGTAATATGAATAATACTAATCATTGATCTTAGTTAGGGATACTATTAATAATATTAATTATTAAGTAATTAATAATTAATCATAATTTTAAGAATTAATAATATTAGTAATCAATGATGATGATGATGATAATAATAACAATAATAATAATAATAATAATAGTAACAATAATAATAATAATAAATAATAATAACAATAATAATAATAATCATAATCATAATATGTAATTAATAATAACTACTTAAGAATAATATTATTAATAACACATAATAACGATATTAATATTAATTCAGTAATGACTAATTAGTACTTAATATTATTAACAATTAATAATCAATAATATTATATAGTATTATATAGTTTTTAATAATATTAATAATCAGTAATGCATAAATTAAAAATAATTGAAATTAATAAATAATAATAATAATTTATTCATAATAATTATAATAATTAAGTAATTTAGTAATAACAATGATACAAATATTTACTTAACAATGATTTAATAATTCATAACAAATCGAATATGAATTAAAAATAATTATTAATTACTAATTAGTAGTAGTTAGCAATAATAATAATTGTTAATTACGAGTAGTAGTAATAATAATGAATKAATTAGATTAATTATTAATGGAGTAGTAATAATTAGTGATAATAATAATTAATTTTAATTAATATTAATTCTTATTATTAATTAATAGTAATTAAAAATACTAATAGTTAGTAATAACTGTAATTATTAATAATATTAATTATTAAATAATAGTAATTATTAATATTAATAATTATTAGTGTATTTAATTACTATTAATTAATATTAATTACTATTATCAGTAATTATTTCTAATTAATAATTAATTAATTAGTAATAATAATGAAATAATAATAATTAATTATTAATTAGTGATAATGAATTATTAATAATAAATATTACTGATTAATAATAATAATCATTATTAATTATTAATTATTAGTAATGATAATTATTTAATAATAATAATTAATTATTAAATGAAATATAAAAAATATTAATGATTTATTAATAATTAATAATTAATAATTATTATTTGTTAATTAATTATTAACTTATATATTAATTATTAATTAATTGTATTAATTAGCAATAATTATTTATGAATAGTTATTAATCATTATACTAATTTTTAATATTATTTTTCATTGAATTACATAAAAAATGAAAAGTTTTCAGATATAGGGTTAAAATGGACATTTGACAATTTTTAGAGTTCAGAACAACATTCTCTGTATTCAGAGTTCAAAGGAAAGAAAAGTTCACCAATACCAATATACCTCTTAATGTAATTATTGCACTTTCAGATGTTAGATTTCAGAGCAAATGAATAGGCCCTAAGTTGCACTTTAATGAGAGTGTTTAACTTCTTATTCTTTAGATAAATTTATATTATTATTATTTTTATCTTAATGCAAATTTTTGTTATTCTTTTGGAAAAGATTTTTTATTAATTTTTATTGGTTTATTATTATTGTTTTGTATTATTTTTAGGTAAAATTATAAAAAAAATCCTCTTATAACAATTCTATAAATCACCTTTGTGTTTTGACCCTAACAAAGGCCTCCTCTATGGTTTGAGAAAAAAGTGCAAATACCTCATTTCCCTTGCTTCTTTGGTAACAAAGACATTAAAGTTACTAAAATACCCTTATCATTGTAAATGCATTATTATACATAATTTAAAGTTTCAACTTTACCCTCAATTAATCTATTTTGCTAGACAATTTTTAAAGAATAATTCTCCTTACTCTTCTTTAATAAATGTAAAAAGACTGAAGTGAAGGAAAATTAATGTATTGCATCAACATTTTTTATTTGGAATGCTAACTAAAGGAAGATGTTTTCACATTTTTTTCTCAAAACAATAGGGGAGGTTTTTGTCAAGGTCAAAACATTGGGAAATTTCATAGGGTTGTTAGAAAACCTAGTGAGGTTTTTATAATTTTCCTTATTTTTAAATAAAACTTAAATTGATCTTTAAATCATTAAACTTTGTTTAAAACTAATATTTTTTATTAAATTTTTAAATTAGTAAAAATTGAATTTATTTAAGTATATTAAGTTTTTATTAAATTTAAATTCCTTATGAAATTTAATTAACTATATTAAGTTTTTATTTTTAGTGGAACTTAAGTTGGTTTTAAATTAATAAAATTTAATTATAAAACTAATAATTGTTAGATAATTTTGTTTTAGTTTTATATTAATTTTAAATTGATATTCATTTTTAATTTATCTTATTCCTTTTATTAATTAAATTATTTTTATTATATTAATAAAAATATTATTTATCAATAACAATAATTATTTTATTTTATTTAAGTAACTTACTAAAATATTTTAATTAGGGTTAAAAATTTTTATTATTTCCAAATGAAATATAAACATATTATAATTTTAAAAGGAAGTAGATTATTTACCATAACATATATCCTTGAATATCTCAATTTCAATATAATTAATCTTTACTAATAATTACGATTTAATGCAAATATATCTGTTGTATATATAGATATATATATAAAGTTAATGAATTTTATGCAATTTAATGGAGTAATGGAGATGAGAGAGAATTAGTGACATGAGTTATTGAAGGAGATATTTAGTGGCATAATTAATGAGGAGAGGGTATTAAAATAGTTAATGAGAAATAAAAGGGATAGAGAGAGAGAGAGAGAGATAATGGTGTTTTAAAGAGTGTTAAAACTGAAGGGATTAGAGATCCATCATATGGATGGCCAAACCCTACAGGTAGGTTGGGCGAAATTTCAAAAATTTCCTCTCCCCTCATTTGGGAATCACATTCCCTGTTTTAGAAAATCAGCATTTTCAAGGATCAATCTTGAACCATAAACCAAACCAGATCTGAAACCAGAAGCATGAGTGGGATATACCTGATACAGAAAAGCAGTATCTCCCAATGGAGGTGTTCACGCCCAAGGTAGGAACCAAAGACTGTTCCCACTGAAGATGGCGCAGTGTAGGATGGAGCAGAATCAACAATGTTCTTCCAAAAGAACCGAACCCTTCAGAAGAATTCGCTAGAGGCACTGAGTACACCTTCAGATCAGCCTTTCTCCAAAGACTGATATCAAGATCCAATCTTGATCACTCCTGCTAGAAACAGGAAATCGAGCTGGCAGTAATGGCAGCAGCAGGAAGGAGGCGGCAAGGAGAAAACAACTCAGTCTTAATGGGTGTTGTGTTCTCTCTCTGAATTTTGAATGTGATTGATCTTCTATAACTGTCGCCCCCTTTCTCCTTTTATAACCTTAAAGGGATCATCTCCTAATCCCATTAGGAGTTGCTGATCCAAATCATATTTGGATCTGAATTCCCCTTAAGAGATAAGGATAAATCCTTATCTTATATGCAGATTAGCTCAGCCCTATCCTAATTTGATTATGAGGTTTCTAGATCTGAATTTGTATTCAGATTTGGACTCTCTGAGTGGATAGGGTAAGACCCTATCCTATCTGCTAATCTAATCTCAGATTCACCC